CATTGATTATTGTGTGTAAAATTTCTTTTTTTGTTTTTTTTTTTGCAAGTGATTGTCTTTTGGTTACATTATCTGCTATCTACTTGTTTGTCTGTCTGTTATATTTACTTATCTACTTAACTATAACTATAAATGAATAAAATTGAATTGATTATTTGTATAGGCATAATCCATTACTTATGAATGAGGCTGGTATTAGTTTAATGACCACGTCCATTGTAAATGTTAACAATTACATATTATACAACATTTCTATAACACAAATTACATATGTATATAACATTAAGGCATAAATATTCTGACGATGGGAAGTTGAAATAACAATAATAATAATAATTAGAAGAAGAAGAAGAAGAAAACCAAACATGCAGAATGAGATTACGATTGAAATTCGTAGAATTTCTCCTAAATGGTTAGCTAAAATACTCATTGGATTTTATATGATAATGCCATCTATATTTGAACGTGTATCACCTATATTATTAAGTACATTTGTATATGGAAATTTTGATAATATAGTGTCATTATTAGTTGATCATATACTGTAAGTTAAAAAAATTTATTATTTATCGTTTATTATAACTTGTTTATTTATACATTTTTGAAATGATACCATATTTGTAGTTTACATTGTAAACTGACTTGGTAACTATGAAAAACTTGTAAGAACTTAACAGTTGTTCCGTTAAAGTATAAAACTCTACACTACTGCCCACTAATAGTGTTAATGAAGACTGTGAAGCTTCGTGACAAGCGCGTTGTTCATAAAAATACAGTTCGGTATTCAGTATTTTACATATAAATAGGGTATATGTACTTGGATAATACTAGGAGTTTAAACGACCGATGTTGGTTCAGTAGTATAAAGGTAACATACTTTCCATAGAACATAAAAATCATTAGCTCTAGCACAGGTTGAAATCGTCTATATACAATGTTGGGTAGTTGCGAATTCAAACAAAAAAACAGATGCTCAACGCTTGCTGTTTTCCAGAGGTTACCTTAATAAAGTCATTTTTTAATCACATAATTAGTAATGAAAATTTCTTTGATATTGTTCAGAATGTCAACAAAAATGAATGAAAAATATGATCCAATGCAAATTACTAGCTAATGGCTTAACCTAAACATAATGAACGTTTTTCCGACTTCATATAAAGTTATGACAATAGAATTTCAATTTCAGTATTATTAATTTCCACCTTGTCAATGATCAGTACTTCTGAATATAATTGATTAAACAGAAAGAGAACTTTTAATTTAATACCCATTACTTAAAACATTAATGTATTATATAACCTTGTAATTAATAACAACTTAAATTTTAAACCGTTTGTAGAGGGGTTTATATTTCATCTACTCTTCCAGGTTTAAATCTAATCAGCCAGTTTATTTAACCAAATGATCAGTTACATTCACTTTTAAACTAATAGTGTGACTCAGTGCACAGCATGCTAAACTCTACTGAATTTATGAGACAGAGTAAAACTGATACATTATTTATAACGCCAGTAAAACCTCTTGTTTATGCCATATACTTATATATATTATATATATTGATTGGCGGAACAGGTATAAATAATGGTTTTAAATAATCTCTTAACAACAGTGAACAGAGAAGTAGTAAGCTTTTATAGTAAGTCAGGAAATTGTAAGTTTCTGTAGATTGTAACAACAAAGGGGGTAATAGTCTCACCTAGAACATCAGATCCTACAAAATCGTGAGTACGTCTTGCTGAAGATTTTCAGGTAGCAGGGTTTCCTATTAAATATCTCCATCACCTAAAATCTGAATGTGATGCTGGCGATATTGAGTTACTTAGAATAGTTGCTAAATTGTAGTTCAAATGATGGAATTCTATCAAGGACAATAACTAGGCAAATATGAAATAACTTGGTACTCAAGGATCAATCAGTGTAATAATGAGGCATTCTTTGAAATTCATGAAGAAGGGTTATTCAGGCTATATCTATTCTTTTCTCCTGATTTGAATTTACTTAGCTTTTAAGAGTGTTATTATACTATCAGTTATTTTGTCTTCGGTGATATTTAACTGAAGTTTTATGAAGATTCATTGAACCTCTCTTCTGTTGTGAACTCATAAGCTTATTGCTAGACTATGGATTCTTAGTAAGTGAATACGGTATTAGAGTAAATGTCATTTGTAAATATTCACTTCTTTAATCACTGAAGAAATCAAATTTGGATTCCTGTTCAAAAATGGACCTTTATGAAGCTAGCTGACTACAGTGTCACTCTTCACCCAGTAAATGATCTATAAGACGTTTCAATTTCCTTTGATAAAACTACTGGTTATTGTCTATTTCACTGTATTTATATTTATGAACACCTGATTTATAACATACTAACTGTCTACTAACAGGGTCTTCATTATGGCTGTAGGGTGCAGAGAGCAGACTAAGCAACTTAACTAAACAGTCGTTTAGAAATATTTTTTGACTGGTATGCAGTCAGATTTATCACCCTAGTTATCTTTAATATTTCTGGCAACAGAATATCTTGAAAAGCTTCACAAATGGAAAGTATGCTTCGTGAACAGCCAGCAATCAATAGTTTTCATCCGATACACAGTTGACAGATGTTTATTCATTGAAATATTAGTGATAATTAGTTAGTATGCAAAGAGATTATAATGAATGTTATTTTTTAAATGATGACGTACAATCACAGACCATCAATGGCTAAAGACAGATGGAATATTGTAGGATCATGAATGCTCATTGTTGATGAATCCCATACCAGGGATGAAACTACCATTCAGTTATCTATTTGGAAGTGAGTCTGTGATATAAACTACAAAGTTTAACAACAAATCCCCCAACAGTATTATTGAATAGTTTCATTTAGCTTATTATGGCAAGTTATGTTTTAGACGAATGTCAATAACTGGGTAGAAATGTTATATGAATTGTAGATACTATAAGAAGTAAAGTTTTATGGCAAACCGTTTGAAGGAAATTAACAGGAAATTATGGATTACGGTTATTTTGATTGTTTAGTGATATTTATTAGTGTTATGTATCGCTTTGTAATTTTTTTGTAAGAATACACCTTGGTGAATGATAAACTATGTGAAGCATGCTATTTATATCTTTAACATTCCTATTATTTATTATTGTAATTGTAGTTACTCATAGCATAAAGGTGTAAGTTCGATATATTCAAACAGTAGTAGAATTTATTAGAAAAGATTTATAATCAGAGGGGTGTTTTGAGGGGATTTTAGTAATTTAATAGTTGAATTCATGAATTTATTGAAGCTAGACCATCATGGGAAACCTGGAAGCACCCAACGGCCATTTTGTCCTAGCATAGGGCTCCTTAGCAGTGCACATCCACGATCCCACTCCACGAGATTTGAACCCAGGACTTAAAGGTCTCGCGCGTGAACATCTAACCTCTGAACCATCATGTGCTCACTAGTGACTGTCTCCAAGAGGTAGTTCCTGGAGTTCTAGTGAGAATCAGTGATCAATGAGGTCCAACCGGGTCTGTTGTCAGACAATAACTCACTTAAGACAATGGTGGAAGGTGACACGAGACCGATAGGTCCTGGGTTTGAATCTCGTTGAGCAGGATCGTGAATGCGCACTGCTGAAGAGTCCTATGCTGAGACGAAACGGTTGTACAGTCCTTACAGGTTTTCCATAGTGGTCTGCTATTAATTAACTCATGAACTTAACTATTAAAATAGAGAATACTATATTTAGAAACGGAAAAACTGTGATGATAAACTTCGAAAATCATCATCTTTTAAGTAGAATGTTGCATGAAAAGTTTGTCACTTATACTACGACTATCGATAAATGTTACAATTTCATATTATTCGACAATTGGAAAGTCAAGTTTATGAAATTCTGAAGTTAGAAGAAATGTTTATATAAATTCTTTGATAGATTGCCTGGTAACATGGAACAGCTATGGAAAAGAACTTATATATTTAATAGGTTTTAATTTAACAGTAAATTGTAGATCCTTCTAGGTTAGAAATCAGTCGAATAACTGGTGAATATGTGACATAATTGAAAAGAACTGTTATCATGTTAGGTGGTAATGTTTCATAAATAAAATAAACTATTTCAAGTAACTAATATCACGAAGTGATCTTAGTTAGACAACCATTTGAAGCTTAGAAACTTTTAATGGTTCTTTCATCCTATACGAGAACTCCCAATGCTTTCTAGCTCTCATTAGCTATTTAAATAAGAACAGTTCGCGATGTTAAATATAAAATTCAACATTCTCCGAAGAACTCTCTATTGTAGACAGGAATGGGGCATTTTTGCATACAAGGATGATGATTAGTTCAAAACATTAGACTTTGAAGGGATTTGAATGAACGGAAAATGTAATTGAGCTGTAAGATTTGAGTTTTTTTATCATACAAACTATTCAGACTGAATAGTTGAATAGATACATTCACGTTCCCGTGATATCGTATTCATTGTGGGTAAATACTGTCATTGCTTTTATTGATACAACATTTCGTTGTGCCACAATTTTGTTTTGATAAGTCAATATTTTTTCTCCTGTCCATTCTTCCTTATTTCCATCTTGTCTGTTGGTACTATCAAGTTTTCAGGATAAATTGTACTATTTAACGTTATTTTTAAGAAACATGAGGAATGTGTTTGTTTAAATGAGTGTACAGGTGCTTAAAACTTGTAGCTTATAGAAACAGTAAAAGTTTAAACATTATTCTATCCATTTATAAGCTTTCAGTAGGACGGTCACTCTCAGGTAGATCATACACTTAAAAACCGATTAAATATTTAGTCAAGTTATCATCATTATTATGAATACTTATTGAATAAAAAAATTTTAAAAAAATTTTTATGGCTCGATATGAAATCATACATAAACTGTATACATTGATGTCACCTATAAATTTGTATCCATGACTTTACGCAAAAAGTATCTGTTCAGATGTATGTAATACAGTTAGACAATACATTTTAACACAAATTCATTATGTCACATACAATACATATTCAATAGTTTTGTTTAAATTAATAAACTGAACAACAATAATGATAATAATGGTCTTATTCATTGTCAACTGGCATATATTGAACATTTGAATACGTTTATCATATATAAATATAATTTAAAAGTACAGACTTATATTAGTAATTAACTTTCATAGTTTCATTAGTGAAGCTCACAAAATGAATGTTTAACATGTGGATAAATACACGTAAATTCAGTCCCACAGTTACAAAGTGAGTGTGTTTAAGGTTAATTTTAACAAAATTCGAAATAAAACATTGTTTTCTTTGTTATAAATGAGAATATAGATTTTTTTCTTATTTCAATAAAAATAAAATCATATATGAATGATTAATACTCATTGTGGGAATTATCATTGTAATTGATTACTATCAGAAGGGGGTTTTGTAGATATTTTAGTAATTTATTAGTTGAATTCATGAGTCAATTAAAGCTAGAACACCAAGAAAAACCTGGAAGCATTGAACGGCCATTTTGTCCTAGTATGGTACTTCTCAGCAGTATGCATCCACAAAACCCCCTTCTGATAATAATCGTCATGTGCTTATTAGTGACTGTCTCTAAGAGGTATTTCCTGAAGTTGCTAGTCAGAAGTTGTGATCAGTGGAGTTCAACCGGGTCTGTTGTGAGATAGTAACTCACTGAACACAATGGTGGACGGTGGCTCAATTTCATGGAATAATTGAAGTTAGACATTAACACCATTGGATGTCAATTCAGTGGTCTACAGGTTAAGCATTCTCGCGCGAGGCCGATAGGCACTGAGTTCGAATCCCGCAAGCGAAATCGTGGATGCACACTGCTGAGAAATCCGATACTGGGACGAAAAAGCCGTTCCGTTGTTCCAGGTTTTCCATGGTTGTCTAGCTTTAATTGTTTATTACTGAGAGATAACAAATAATTACTCACTTTAATTTATATCAGTCGTTTACCTAATTCATGATTGTAATGGGAATGATGTTTTTCAATCAAATCTTTATGTAGTTGGGATTTTAAGTTGGACAGTATGCTTGTTAAAGGAGACATTTATTAGATTGTATAATATTGCAAATAAAACTTTCAGACATTTGTCTATCAATGTAGGTATTTTACCGAAATAACTACAGTATGAATAGCGTTTAAGCGACAGACGTCAATGGATCACTTTACAGCTTGTTTACAATGTTATTTTACATATACAATATTTTACAAGACGAAGGCATACATTCAGAAAGTGTTTACATCATTAACTTCGAATTTTTTTGTTTAGTTAAAGATTGTCTAATTGATATGACTGTATCTTGTTTGCCAATAAGTCTTCCTATTCTTTGCTCAATTCAGTGTTGTGCTTGTTTACTTAACACAAAACAGTTATTAAATACACATGTATGATCATTGATTCTTAAACTGATGCTCGTGCGTGATGTAAACTAATTTCAAGTAATGAATTACCACTATATCCAAATATGTGTATTAATGATATACAGTTACTTGATTGATTTAATGTTGTTAAAAACATACTTATTAATAATAATAGTAACTACATAAGTTTCTTTTGTGATCATCACACCGATCAACAATCAACCATCACTAACAAAAAGGAGTCGCATATTTGTAGCCTACATTAGACAATCAGTGAAAACCAGAAAGGACTGGACAGACAAAACCCTTAACACTAGACTTGACGGTCTTTAGTTCAATCTCTGTTGGGTCATAAATATGGGTTTCAAAGAAGTCCCATATTTAGGAGAAACAGAAATCTTGTGATTCTCGGTTTTCAGTGACTACCTAACTCAAAGGCATTAATCAACACAAAATTGACACCTTTCAGAGTCTTGAAGTACACATTGATGCCAAATGGATTTGAAGCCAAGAGCTTGACGTTTCGTGGTGAACAGAGTTATTTCGGGCTACGGATTTGGGTGTTGTAAAGTTCATATTTTAAACTTCAGTCATTTCAAGATTTATTAAGTTTCTCAACCAATATTGATGGTATGCTCTAACTTCGGTTAGTAAGATAAGTTGTTGCTTCTTATTGGTACTTTAAAAATCCATGAATATTACACACTTTTTCCCAATAAAAAGTAACAATTATTTAAAGAGAAAGAGCGAAAAAGAAATTTATTTCCTTGCACCTAACCACTCTCCTTACATTTACTTGGAATTGTTTTACTTGAATCTTCCCATTGTTATTTAGGATTGCAATTGATCTGTCTCCTATTGGCATATGTGCATCCTGTGCGTATTGGCTCGATATTGCCTTAATTCACAAGCTTTTTAAACAAAGATGGATAGTGGCTAGCAGTAGAATCCAGGACGCGCGTTTAGTCCTATTTTGGACTCGTCAGCTGGATATACCTTCATCTCAGAGTTGATGTTCACTTTGGGACTTGAATCCAGTACTGGCGATGGCGTTTGAAACGAACGGCACTGGGTTCGAGTCTCGGAGTGAACATCAACTCTGGGATGCAGGTACATCCAAATGACGAGTCCCAGATAAAACGAAAAGCGCGTCCTGGGTTCCCCTGCACTCTCCATACTGTAATTAATTCTGTAAACACTAATCGATTACCATGCAGTTGATAAAGAATTGCAAATTCTCATTTTTAATACTACTAAATTCTGCTAAATAAATTACATACACAGTTTAAAGGTTTTGCACTATTGTCATTCAGTTTAATTAGATATAAAAATATTACTACGTAGATTTTCAATTTCAATTTCTGATATAGATAGCCAATCAAAAGTAGTCTAATGAAAAGGTCAATTGATGGCTATCAGAAGTGATTTAAAGGTCAAGTACATTTCATTGTGGTCAATTTCCTAAGAATAGAGTTGTATATATGAATGAGCATTTATACATTTCACTCGGTAGTCCAATATACCCTCTCACCCAACCTTGTGTTCTCGTTCAAGTAGTCAGTTGAGGGGGGGGTTTCAGGCACCTCACGCCACAACAATTTCAACCTAGCATATTTTTTTAAAACACTATGCCATACTGAATTCACATATTTCAGACAAGTTAAAACAACTTAATATAAATCAAATGATTTTCAAGTGGTTTATAAATACATATAATCTATTAGTCCTTATTCGTAGATCTCCATAAGGTAGTAGATGTTGTCCATTGTGATAATCTTATGACAAGGTTTGAAGTTGGAAACAGTAATAAACAAGCATTCAATAACACTAAATTCTTCATCTTCATAAAATTATGCAGCTGTATGAAAACTATAAGACATATAGTATATGAATTATTCACAATATATGTGATATTTATCGATAATGTACACTACCATTTTAAATTCATCTTTACGCTCATTACAGGTAACGACTAAGTATATCAGATCCCTGATAATTCAACCATATATACATTTATAATCTGGAGTTATCAAGTTGATATCTGACATACTTGTAAATCGAAAGAATCTTCGAAATGACGACATTTCTTGTCAGTGTTCTTCCATGAAGTTAACTTCACTATAAAATCTAAAGTGTGCTCTTCTTCATTGAGGAGGATTTAGCCTAACGGATACAAAACCTAACATCTATCTTTCATCCAGTGAAAATATTGAAGATAAACGTGGATCTACGACGCAAACAAGATGGATTCACACTCATAGTCCTAATTTTTCTGAACACATATCCATAAAGGTGTCAAAATCTGGGAAATTATTATGTCTAACACTTCACAAATGAACAAAAATGAATCTAGAATCTATATCTATAGAATATCTGTGGGAAGAAAGCTTGAAATCTGTTCTGAAATGTTACTACGAAAACGTCTGCATCATAACTCTTGTGGTATATTATTTCCTGTAGACACAACAACACAAAACCCAAACAAATCACTAGAGTTATCGAATAAAAATTAAATTAAACCTGCTGTTAGATATACCGAGATATAAGAGATCTATTACTGGAAATAAGCTAAAGAAAAATTCCATATATTTGTTTATGAAGATAATTGATGTGTGGTGGAGATTTGTGGCTCAGGTGGATGAAGTCTACCTGAAGTTTGTGCTGATGATGTCGTTCAGAAGAACGATGAAAGCTCCACGACCAAACCCTTCAGCTCAGAGAAAAAATCTCCATCAAAACAACTGATGTGTCTCTTTTCTGGGAATAATCTCATGATAAATATTTATAACTCAAAAATCACTTCAGACATTACAAGTCCTCTCACCGTATGAATGACATTTTCAGAGATAAACAAACGGTCTACGTTCTAGTCACAGACAATAAAACTCAAACTAATTTACTTTATATGTCTACTTTGTGTGATTTAACATTACATTTATATAAGAATTACTTAGCTGATAATGCTTGATTCATACTGCTATTATCATGAATCACTGGGTCATCCCTCACACATGTCCAAAATCACATTATCAGTTTATTATTATAGGAGTTGTTAAGCCAAATAAAATTTATAATCAGAAGGGGTTTTGTGGAGATTTTAGTGATTTCAATAGTTGAAATCATGAGCCAATTGAAGCTAGACCACCATGAAAAACCTGGAAGCACTGAACGGCCGTTTCGTCCTAGTATGGGACTCCTCAGCAATGCGACCTCGCGAGATTCGAACCGAGAAGTTAGACATTAACATCGTTGGATGTCAATTCAGTAGTCTAATGGTTAAGCGCTCGCGCGCGAGGTCGATGTGTCTTAGGTTTGAATCTCGCGAAGCGGGATTGTGGATGCACACTAGGATGGAACGGCTGTACAATGCTTCCTGGTTTTCCATGGTGATCTAGATTCAACTGACTCATAATTTCAACTACTGAAAGATTTATAACTTTATTATTTTTCAGAATACTAATATTGAAATAATGGTGGATTTATGTGTATGTCTTTTCTCATCAGTGATCTACTCACACAAGTTATATAATCTTATTTAGATGAGGATTTTCGGTTCACTAAGCACAATAAGACATTTTGACGAGATACAACATTTCGTAACATGAGCCTTGAATTCCCTAATTAAAAAATATTATCTATTGAATCGCGTAAATATCTCAGCAAAATATAACTTTTGAATTGGCTTACATAAAGTCTCATTTCATAATATACTTAAAACATCTGTATGAACGCCTTCTATAGTACTTGCCTAATTATAAGCTTAGTTACAATAATTTGATGGTCCTTGTAAAATGGTATGAAATCTGTCATAATGTGCAAATTAAGTGTTGACATTATTTATTTGTCTTTTCATTTTATGTTGCTTTTCATAATTATCATTATCAACTGAAAATGGCCTATATCCAAATCTACACTAGTTAGTTACAATATATTGGTTATACAGTAGTATAACCCTTTGCAATCAGGACAAAATGAAAAGTGTTTATTATTCAAATAACTAGTGATTTAAATGAGTTATAACTGATGAAAACCTTAAATTATTGTATTGGTGTTTTGTTCTTGTCTGTAACTTATCAGCAACATAAAATAGCTAATCATTGCTGTCTGATTTTTGATAGTTTTCAAGTGCTGAATTCACTTTACTGAATAAGTTTTATTTTTTTTAAAGCCTTTTAATTTTTGCCATAGAATTTCACAGTAACACTAATATATATGTGTATATTTATCACTTTTCTTTCAGTCGGCCAAGTGTGGCACTCGCGGACTATGATATTTCGGATAGAAGGTAAACCTTTTTATTGTTGAGTTTTAACTCAATTAGTTAGACATATGCGATCATAGTTATTTTACTAATACTCGTTTATTTAATACCATTCAGTTTAAAGTTGAATATTCAACTATCATCATTTTATTGTATGAATTCAGAGAAAAAGAAGGTTCTAAAAGCCTTCGAAACAACATATGTTCAATGAAACGCATTAAATTTGTTTAAGAAGGGATACTTTTACTCATCAGTTTATTGATTATTGGGGATAAATAGTTATAGTGAAAGTAGAAAAAGACTTATTTTATGGCATCAATCAAGACATTAAAAATAGATATATGTAAAGGCTTGTATTGTATTGAACTTTCTACATTCCTCATATAGTAAATCGTAGAATGTATGTGGTATCAATGTGATATTGAATCCAATTTCCAGGAAAAGTAACGTCACCACGATGAAGTAATTCAGTGTTAGTCGTTTAAGAGAACGGTGGTTTAGATGCATGTAGTTTCGAAGAGTTTTTTTACTAAGGTTTCGGATATTCACGTTTCTCAATAAAGCTATTCCAAAAGTTTTCGTATTTAGTATTGATAGTTTCATAAAGTGACGCAGAAACGGATTGAATTTCTTAAATACCACAGGATACTTGATAAGTTTAAAAAAAGTTTTTTCCGAAAACATGATATATTAGAGCTATGTAATCGTATTCTTAAGTATTTTTTTCGCTCAAACTTCATTATTATTTTTTTGCTGCAGTTCAAGTCCGAATCAATTCGTCTCTCATGATATGGGCAAACGGAACAAATTTATTTATTATAATCATTAACGAACCATTCTTTTTGACATACAACCAGTCAGTAAATAAAGATAGAATATAATGATAAAGGAGTGAATAATGTCTGTAAGCATCAGTGTGAGAGTTGTGTTGGATCGACTTTCATTTGAAACTGACATATCAGTCTATAGGAACTGAAGCTTGTAAATCCCACGGGCGGGATCGTGGATGCACACTGCTGGGGGGTCCTATGCTAGGACGAAACGGCCTTCCAGCTCTTCCAGTTTTTAAATGGTGGTCAAGCTTTATTTGACTCACGAACTTAGCTATTAAAATCACCATAATTTCCACAAAACTCCTGATAAAAATCAATAGAAACATACAATAATCACTAATTTAAAGTTAGTTTTTTAAAGGTACTCAAATATTTATTTAAAAACAGATATTTAGCTACATATTGTAGACTGCTATACCGAGAACGTATATTCATGATCAAGGATGTGGTTTGAATGTCAACTGTCGAAGATCCCTAGTCAGCTAATGTATCATTCTGTTTTACATCATTCTTACATTTGTGATAACACTAAACTAAAACGTAATCTAGTCATTTCTTAAATTTTCATAACTACATATTGTGAATAGCTTGAACATCTGAACTAATCGAAAAGTTAATAAATGTCAAACGCCCTAGAGCTGTATTATACTATTTAATGAATTGAACTAATTTAGTGTTTCAAAGAACATTACAAGAAAATAACGATGATCTTATCAATTTCCTTTGTCATTATTGATTTTCTACATCACCCTATCCACAAGATATTTTGTTCATAGTCTATAATAACATTCTAACGTGAAAAAAGTGATTACATAATTGATAGGGTGGATTGATTATCTTAGAGATCAACATCGGGTAGTGAGAACACTTCAGAGACTATTTATGTCCTTTTGAGTAGTGTAGACGATTTACTGACGCATGGTTATCCAACGAAAATAACAATTGAATTGACAGTTACTCAGGAATCAGTGAAGTTATCTTATTTGATTCATAGGACAAAATGGTCAGTTTTAACATCACTGACTAAGATACGAAGGGATTGAGGTCATAGTACCAGGCAGTTCACGATTTTCTTTAGGATTATTGACATGTTCGTTATCGAATAATGACTTGCACAAAATCAATGTCCAGGTAGTCGTATCAGTTAATTGTAATCAAATGAAATTATCACTAAACCAACAAATACTAACGTTTTATATCGTAACTTTTTAATACTAATACCATTTGTCATCAGATTTGTTTTTGTTCAATTTTAATTATTAACAAAATCTTTTCCAGATCTTCTGCAATGTCTTCACTTCTATTACTATTTGCTCTATTCGAGGGCATGTGTGGTTTTGTTTTACCGATATGCTCTGCCTTTCGTGTGTCCAGTATATCACAAAAACGATATTACTATGAAGTAAGTTAATTTATAAACAATAAAGTGATAGTATTTTTTGTTGTTGGATAAATTGAGTTCATGTTTTCATTTGTTTAAAATGAAAGAAAATATCAGAAGGGGTTTTGTGGAGATGATAACATACTGATTCAGGGTTATAACTCTATTCTTATTTACAAATTTATTTAAACTGAGTATTCACTCATTTCATATTACATAGTTTTCAATGGTTAATGTTTTGGCAAGTTTATTTTTTTGAAATAGTTTTGGAAATACGGTTGAAGTTAGACATTAACAGCTTTGGATGCCGGTCGGCTCACTGGTCTAATGGTTAAGCGCTCGAGCGCGAGACAGATAGGTCCTGGGTTCAAATCTTGCACGGGGGGAGAGATCGTGGATGCGCACTGCTGAAGAGTCCCATACTAAGACGAAACGGCCGTCCAGTGCTTTCAGGTTTTCCATGGTGTTCAAGCTTCAATTGACTCATGATTTCAACTAGCAAACTTAGTGAAATCTCCATAAAACCCCTTCTGAAAATATCTATTTATTTATTACAAGTAAATCACTTATTCAAAAAATAATCTATACTTTTAATTTATCAGGATTATTTCAGTAGTCTACTGCATTATTATCACTAATTCACAAGTTACTTTGATTGTTTTAATAGTTTCCAGATACTTATATGAATATCATTGGATATTAGAGTGAAGATCGAATTAAAAAGAGCAATTCCTTACTCAATAGATTATTTTCAATCCCCCACTCCAAAAGTATTTCTGTAAAACATAACATAAACAACAAGTGATAATTTCAATATTTCACTGACGTGTTCTAGATGTTTGATTTGAAATAAAAATTCATATCGAACTGTCGACAAGATCATTTAAGTATTATCACCAAAATACTGTTTATGCAAAATGAACAAATACAAGTATTTTTCAATGCTATGTATATCCACCAACTATAGATAACTTACCAGAAGTGATACTCTCTTCATTCAATCCGTTTCCTTTTAAATATTCATAATGAAGAATTCAAAACTTTTTTCATACTATATTAGCATCTTTAGCCTTGTAGAAAACTTTTTCTATGATATAATTACATTCAGTGTAATTGTATTTTAGATGCATAGAATCTATATTATTAGTTTTAAGAGATGGATTCTACAAGGAATGATCAATATTCAGATTTATTAACTTATTATTTAGGAAATGTAAATTGTTTTTTCTTTTGTTGTTGTTGTCATTTTTCAATCTTATTACAATGTTATAGTTCCCAGTTACACATTGTTTTCTTTTTTAATGAGTGAAGCGATGATTCTAAGAAAATGAATCTCATTTTAAGGTATTAATAAATGTTTAGTTTAGAAAATAGACAAGCTTATTCTAACCACCATTGTAAGAGAGTTTTGTTGTCAAGTATTTTCACTGTCAATATCAAATATGTTAGATTAATGTCAATCGGTTATTTTTTGTTTCTTTGAACATTCTTCTATGTACATTGAATATTGTCACTTGGAAACTCATCAAATTAACACATTCTCTCTTTTTTTTTCGTTCCTTTACGTCTTCACATATTCCTGTTTACATCAATCTCATATAAATCCGAATAATATAGAAATTCCGTCCAAGTATTTAATGATCAATATCATTTTATAAACATAGAATAAAATAGATTGTTGTAGATGTAAACAATTCCATTGATCTCATTAAGTAAAACGATCTAACATGATTGATGAAGCCAATATAATGAAGCTTAAAATGATAGAGTTTTTAACATTGTTACTATGTGTTTATATCAATGTATTATATTATTTTAATAGATTTAATATAATTAAATTGATATGGGAAAATAATTGGTTATATGACAGTTTGATATTTCTCTACCGGTTTGATAGAGACAAATAAAAGTCAATGATAATGCTTATATATATTATATAATTTATTATTGATCAATAGAATAGATCATTGATTCAAAATAACTAATCAATAAATTGATCAGTTCATTTAAATTAAATATAAAATAATAAATCAATAATTAGAGGTTGTATGTTATTTTTTTCTTTTTATAATTGAATTCACGAGCCGATTTAAGTTAGACCACTATTGAAAACTTGGAATCATTAGACAGCCATCTTGTTCCAGTATGAGACTCCTTCCCGCATGTGTGATTTGAATCAACGACATTTGGTCTTACACGCGAATACCTAACCTCTAGACTTTTGGGACGCGATCGAATGGTGTTAATGTTTAACTAGCTTAGATCGACTCGTGAATTCAACTTTTAAAATCTCTGTACTGATAATAATCGTGTGCTCATTAGCGACTAGCTTTAAGATAGATGTCCTGGAGTTCTGGTGAGAAGCTGTGATTAATGGAGTTCAATCTGTGTTGAGTTTGAGGCACTTACCCACCTCAGACAGTGGATAAAAGGTTGTGCAAGATTATGAACCCATTGAATTTATACGCGGTATAATAAGAAACTAAGCTCTAGATATAACAGACATTAAAACCGTTGGTTACCGAATTAGTGGTCTAGAGCTTAAGGGTTCGTTGGCTCAAGTCACATGTGAGGGATCGTGGATGCGCACTGCTGAGTAGTCCATCAATAGGACGAAGCGGCCGTGCAATGATTCCAGGTTTTCAATGGTGGTCTAACATCAATTGGTTCATAATCTTAGTAATCATAACAATCTCCACAACCCCATCCTGATAAATGAGATAGTTGAAATTCAAATCGATTTTACATTGTAATAAATCCAGGGAACATAATGAAGAATAAAAATCATACTAAATTAATAGATACTCTTGTATAGAATCCGTTCTTAACACCTCTCACTTTCTAGCTGGGATATTTTTTCTACAAGGTTTTTTTAAAGATCACTTGTTCCTCTTCGTAACATTTTCACTCTCTTCAGTTGACTGTGTGGTCGCGACTCAATTTTCTGTCACCTTTTCATTTTGCCAACTGAATCTTCCATTAGTATTCCCAACATCAAAGTCTCCAAACTTTAGATAGCGGCATCAGACTTGGGCTCCCGTTTTTGATCTGATTTATACATCTATATGTGCTCTTCCATTTGGATTTCATATGTGACTGCTCTTGTTATATTTCTGAAGGTGATGCTCCATTCATTATGAACTCCTCAGTAACCGCTGTACAATTTCTTTTATTCTTCATCCCATTTATACCTATTAGGCGGCTTTTTCCAGTGAGGTGATAAACCGTTTCACCTGATTATTTAATAATAGACGTAAACAGAGTTAAGTTTTTTAAAAAAATTGTTAGCTCATTTATGTAAACTTTTAACATTAGGTACCATCTTTAACGTTATAGTCATTAGATATTCTGAAGTATTAATTATAAATTATACAATTGACTTTAAGAATGTACTAAACCGATGATTACTAGTTTCTTACAGGAACGCAATTAGTTTACTCATTCGGAAGGCACTGTATCGTAAATCAACTGAAGTTTATAATTTTAACTGTCGGGTCTTTGATTTTCGACTGAGAAAAATGTTGTTAGTGGTGCAATGTGGAAATATTCCATATTATTAAAGAGATTAACACTAGGAACAAAAAGCTATTCAGTATATCACAGTTTTCAGTGATCATTAATTTGTGATTAAAAATAAATAAATGAACCTAAATACCAATCTTTCTGATTGATAATTAATGATAAAAAGAATAACAAGGAAGTAGATTTTTGCTCAAGATATTAAGCAAACCACAGTCTACTCCTTTTATTTACTTAAAATGAATTGAACTAATAATGATAATGTCATCAATTTTGCGGTGAAACGATAGTGTTTGTAAATTACTAACGTAAATGATCTATGTGAAATGATTGGAGGTTTACTAGAGTTAGACGGGAATGGTGTGACGAACCAGCTAACTTTGAAGTCACACTTCATGGTCAGCACCTAACGTGGATTACCTCATCGACGTATCAAAATACTATGCCTGCTTTGAAGACTGTATAACGCAAACGACGTTACTATTTAAATATATTAATAAGAATGAGTACTGAGTAGATAGTGAGACCACCACCACATGAGCCGATCCATGGTATACGAACAACTGATGCGCGTTGGTTGTCGTCGACTTTGACAGGGATCGATAATCTGTTCAGTATTCAGTGACTTAACTGCCGGACGATTTGGCTAAGGCTTAGGGATATTTCACTGGCTTTACATGGTTACAATAATAATAAAATATCGAGGAAATAAGAAGGGAAACTTTTATAAGTACTTGCTTACTTAAGATAATACCTTATATTTTGAACATGGCCAGATTCAATGTTATGAAAGTATGTTAAAATGTGATAATAATAGCTAATCTTTGAATTTCAGTCAATATTCTATCCAAATGTAATTGAATAAATCTTAAATGAACTCTACGTCATGTAATGGTCAATTGTATAATTAAAATGGGAGAATTTGACTTTTTTTTGCTTGAGATTACGAACTGATTGGTGTTAGATTACCATTGAAAACCTGGAAACACACGATGGCCGTTTCGTCTTATTGTAGGACTCCTCAGTGACAGTGATCATTCACGATCCCGCAACCCTATACTGATAATTTGATTTTTAACTATTAAAGTTTAAAATAATTAATTCATAAAATGTATTTTTTTGTTTTCTTTAACTATTTATCTACCATAATCATTATCTACGTGGTTGAATAATCATGTTTAATAAAAAAAAGAATTTTTTAATATTTCAATATTGTTTATCCATTCTGGCATTGGCTTATCTACAATCATTAATATTCTATTATGATCGTAAAGAGAATTTACGTCATAAACAAGAAATTGTATTTATGAATCAAATAAATGAAGCTAGACGAAGATGGCCAAATCATCATAGTTCACCAGAAGAAACTGAAAATAATCTTATAAATAACCATCATACTACTACTAATACTACTACTACTAATAATAATAATAATAACATAAATAATTATGGAGAAAATCAATGGAATTTACAATTACAAAAAAATGAAGATAAATTACGTTTGGTTACATTTATTCATGATACACATGAATTATCTACCGATAGTCATAGTGATTCGACACCGATTCATATGGATTCTACAAATATGAAATGTAAGCCAATTTCTTATAATTATATAAATGAAAATTTGTATAAGAAAAAAGAGAATTTAGTGAAGAAACTTGTTTTTTCCAATGAAATCATTTACTTAAGTTGTACATTCGTATATATATATATATATATATATATATATATATATATATATATATATAGTTATACGGATTAGTTGAAGTCAGACATTAACACCGTTGGATGTTGGCCGGCTAATTGTTAAGCGCTTGGGCGTGAGACTGATAGGTTCTGGGTTCGAATCTCCCGCGGGGGGGGCAGGATTGTGGATGCGCACTGCTGAGGAGTTCCATACTAGGACGAAACGGGTGTCCAGTGCTTCCAGGTCTTCAATGGTGGTCTAGCTTCAATTTACTCATGATTTCAACTACTGAAAATATGTCTATAAAAGGATAGAAAAGATTGCATCACAAAAATGGATAACTTTTGCTGATTAATTTTGTAAAATTCAAGAATTAACAGTATTATTTTCAAATATATAAATTCAAAGGTTTAGTGTCAGAGTATCACAGAAATCACAAAACCTAAATACAGGGTCATAATTAATCAATCTTTAACATGTTGTGTATTCGCCAACCCTGTTACAAAATTTAAAAATGTTCACAAGTTCCTTTAATTAGAAACTCTATCGATCCTAATAATTAGTCAGTATTTCTCATTTTACTGAGTAAATAGTAAATAACGTGGTCACATCCAATAATTATTGAATTAATTTACTATAACATATTGACAATAATGTCTAAAAAAACTAGTCAGAAATCTTCTTCATTTATTCAAGAATCTGTCATGAAATCAATGATTTAAGGATGCCATTTTTGTGCTACTTTATTCGTGAATGATTTTGTAATTACTTAGTCAATTAGACGCCTTGGTTAAGTGTTTCCTAGAGCTTCATTGGTTATTCCGTAGACGTTTATCAACCTTGTACATTAAGCAAGAAATATGATGATAATATAGGATTTAACTCAACAGTTAGCCCACAAATTCGAACCATAGAATCAAAATATTGTTATTGTTGTGTTGAAACCTGTTTTGTAAGTTTATTTGGTTGCCGACCTCACAATCGAATGAATAGTCTGATATTATCACTCATCAACTTATCACTCGCGAAACATAATCAGACTATTTAGTAGATCAACGGAATATTTAATAAAATTTAAAGTCCAGTATTTCAGCTGAACTGGCCATGAAAGAAAATGGTTGTTCAAAGATTATCTATCACCTTAAAAAAGCAAACTGTTTTTAAAAGGTATACTTGTCTAGAAATGAATAACGGCTAACAGTGGGATCCAGGAAAAGCGTTTTATCCTATTTTGAACTCGTCAGCTGTATGTACTTGCATCTCAGAGTTGATGTTTATTCCTGGACTCCACCCTAGTGCCGTTCTCTTCAAACACCATCGCGCTATCCACTTAGTTACTTAGTCCTGCTAGCCACTATTCATCTTTGCTTATAATGCTTGTGAATTAAGGCAATACACACAGTATGCATATATGCCAATAAGAGACCGATCGGTTGCAGTCCTAAACATCGATGAGGAAATTCAAGTAAACAATACCAAGTGAAGTATCGTCTTCCAGTTGATATTAAACCAATTAGTTGTTTTATTAATTTTATTATTCAGATTTGGAAGATCGAACACGTTTCATTGATCAATATGATGATAATATTAGTTCAAATGAAGACGAAGAGAATCCATTCGAAGAAAACCATAAATTATCAAACAATAAGGTAAAATATTGTTAGATGATGAAATAAAATAAACAAAATGAATGAATAAAGTTCTGTCTAAGTTCATTGTTGAATGAAATTTTTATCTTATATTTTACAGGTTAATCGAAAATCAGAAATACTCTGTTTAATCGAGTGTTTTTTAGTCTTCACCTGATCAAAACCTTTTAGTTAGTTTCTTGCACGATTATCTAATTTAAAAAAAGCAGTAGTTTCTGTTTGGTGACTAAAGGAAGTTTAAAGGAGGACAGTTGACATTTAATCAGTAACATTGTATACGTGAAATGTTAAGAGAACCGATACTGGTGATAGACTTAGAGTAAGCATCATCTATTCAGAGTTATTATCGAACAGCACATTGATTTAAAGTTTGTTGTCAACAACTGTCTTCTGTTATTCACCAGCGTACCAGTGTGGTGTATGCTACTCATGTAGAGAGATATAAGTAGTACGTAACATCAATCGAAAAGGGAATGCCTGGTGGCAAAAGGTTGATAAGATCAAAGAGAAGAGAACGGGATCAGAAAGTGATTTGTATAGAAATGAAGGAACAATAACGTCTGAGACAATTTAAGGACATTTCCCAAGTGAAGTATTGAACGTATGATATTTTCATTTTAGTGAATTACTATGTAATTGTATTTCTGGTTACATTAAGTTGTCTCCATCTCTGTTTCCGTTCATTATACCAGTTTAGGATACGTCATTAATTTAATATTGTATTTCTCTATCTTTCAATCTCGTATGTACATTCACTATATTTTACTTTACCATTCTTTTAGTCGAATCAAAATGAACAAAAGTCTCCAACTCTAAATGTTAAATTTGCTAACTCTGTCACACCCCTGACTAAACAGAATGACAATGTCAATCACAATCGGAATATTCACAATAATAATAATGATATTAAAAGCAATAATAATAATAAAGGAAAAGAAGGGGAAGAAAATACAATTATTATTATTGATCCTATTAATGTTAATAATCATGAAATTAAAACAAATAATAATAATCGATGGAATAAAATGAATCTACAACTTAGCAGAATAAACATTTCCAATGATAATAATAGTCCTAGTAATAATGAATGCGATCATACCATTGGTGGTGAAAATAATCATAGTAATACTACTACTACTACTACTACTAATAATAATAATAATAATAGTAACAATACTGATATTAATGATTTACAAATTATGAGAGCAGATGATGTTTATTTTACTTTAAACAAAGTTAAACTATGCAACAGTTTTAATCATCATGCCTCTGGCATAAAGGATAGTAGTGATGTTAGTCAAAGTAGATATAACTCGACAAGGAGGCCTAACAAAAATAATTGTTTGGCTGTAAAAGCAAAAAATGTGAACACATTTAAATCGAAGAAAAAGCGAATGACATCATGTTGCGGTGAACGGTCAAGCAGTCCGGCACAACCTGGGTCATTTTATCCATTAGCAATTCTTTTCGGTGATAAACCAAGAGTATCTAGACGTGAATGTTATTTTTCACGAGACACAGAAGGCGTTAATTTGTATTTGCGTTTAGGAGCTGTGGGTAAGTAACTAATTGATTAATAATAACGAAAATGAGCACAGTTGATTATCGATTATTGTCAATGAAACTTCAATTTCTTTGTTAGAAGTATTTTAAATAACATCATCTTCATTTAGGTTTAAATGTACTGTAATTTTCTGCAGTGTAAGACGGTTGATGATAGCCAGAAGGAATTCCTGTGTCTAGGTTCTATGCTAATTGTCACTCATCTGCAAGATGTACTTATAATTATATGGGAAATGATGTCTCATGGCGGATTCAAACTGGAGTCATTCAGCTTCGAAGTTTTATATTATTAATAAGCTATTAAGGCCCCTAATGACCTCCTGTGAATTTGAGATGTATACACTAACTGATCTTTGAGTACTGAACAATGATTCAATGCTCAACGAACCATATCTATGATCAAAACATTGTGTAGGTTATTCCCAGTCACTTAGATTAGTGGCTATATTGTAACTTAACAGATCGAATTGGTTCACCAATAAAGACTAAGTGACCTTGACTCTAGTCACTACTTAGTGACCTATAAATATAGGTATTCATCGGGTTACATAAAATCAGTCACTAACCAAAAAGCTTGGCGGCAACGAATCCGACTCTGACATTTGTTAATTTGGGTATAAATCCCATTGTGGAGCGTTGATTTACGTCACTAACTAGTGACAAATAGTACAAAACCAAAAAGCAAATATTTCACCAAAGCAACTACAAGCATCTAATATCAAAGAATAATACAAACAGTGCCAAGTCACTCATTAATAACTATATTGCAAATCAGTTAAACAGATATGATATTCATTACTACACTGTGATTGATTAATGTGGAATAATATACTTGTTGCTATTGATATGATTCGTTTCGATTAAATATACTATGGTTGTTCTATCCATTTGTATCAGAATTTGTAATGTATGGACAGAAATACAATAGGTTATATTTAAAAATGAACTTACTGATCTAAAGGGAAACATGGGTGGAGAGTGGTCATTAAAATGAATATTGCAAATGTATCGTGCTAATAGGTAACAGTCAAGATGAGAAATAAGTTAAGAGTTTCTTACAAATTAACTCAATTTTGTATCTATTAAAATAACAATGAATAAGCCCCAGATAATGTTTAATTTATTTTTATGTTCCATAAATTTATCACTTAAGGTTTTGGTTTCGGAGTAATGATATTCGATGGCTTTAAAATAGCAGAACCATGGGAGGAAGGAGCTAATTCAGTGGTTTCATGTCATGGGCATTTATGGATTCCGTTACATTTACTTCATTTTGTCTACGTGTTTTGGCAAACATACTTCTTATTTAAACATCATCGGGTAAGAACTATGCAGAAATCAGTAAACTGACGGATTAAAATTATGACGACTTTGAATACAAGTCGAGTTTAGGTAATAACATTAGGTTAATATGAATGCACTGATGCATGAATCAGTGTTAGACCACTCTTTAAATCTTGAAAGCACTGGACCGCCGTTTCGGTCTAGTATAAGACTCCTCAGCAGTGAACGTCCACGGTCTCTCACGTCAAACTAGAACCCAGGACCTTCGGTCTCACGCGTGAACGCTTAAGCTCTAGACCACTGAGTCGACATCCAACGGTGGTAGTGTGTAACTACAGCTAATTCACGAAATTGTGCGGTCATCTTACATTGTCTTCGGCGAGTGACTGCCTCATTTACTTTTAAAAAGTGTTTAGTTTTATAATAATAATGCTTCTGACTGGAAATTGACGAGAGTTAAAAAAGAGTGATAATTGCTTGTCAGTATAAACAAGGTTTGACTTGATAATTTTAAATTTATTTAGCATTAGGTAAATTAGTCCGACTCGCGCGTCTACGTTGTGTCTCCTGGATCGTGGGGACGTGCTCTCATGAATCAACGCGAGCGGCTGGGTATAGATCTGGACAATCCACAACTTTATTGAAAACTAACTAATTACAAAATGCTCAAAGATGATACACAAAACTACTGAGGGTAAAGCTAATAAACTGGACTGGGATTTGACGAAGTTATCTTTCAAGAAGATTCTCCTGGTTCTAAAAAAGCTACAAAAAATTACACAAAAGCACAGAATGAAATAAGCAAAATAAGACCAATCTTAAGACCAAATAACATCAACTTAAAAACGAAGGCAAGATTAATTGAGACAACAGTGATACCTGCCCTGATATATGGTCTAGAAACAATAGTCCTATAACAAAAGATTCAACAAAACTAGAAACATTGTTGGATATTGCGAGATGGATGATTCTAGGAATAAATAATAAAAGGCAGAAAACAGTAGATGAATTAAAAGAGAACAATAAACTACCAAATTTAACGGAGAAAATCAGAAGTAGACTGAACTTATGGTACACAGCCAAACAAGTAAAGAATAACATTATGTGCAAAATGAATTACAGCATGATAGAAAGAATAGTACAAAAAGCCCATACAAAGAGTTGGATCAGACAACTACAGGCAGATATACAAGTACTTAACGAACAACCAATTGAAAACTGTTTAGACATCTCAACCAATGTAAAACCAGGTAAATTTGATCATGATCAACCTATCATAATTAGAAAACGAAAGCTGAAAATCAAACGTTTAAATGAAGCTGAAGTAAAGAGATGCGTCGTCATAACAAAGATGATCATGGGAATAAAGAAACAGAAATAATAAAAATAGACACATGTGTGTTTAATAAATGGCTGTCTAAAAGAATGGTAAAACACAAGGATAGCTGATAAGGCACATGCATACACGTCATCCTTAATAAATAAATAAATTTGATTAACAAAAGACGGAACATAAGCAAACAGAAGACCCTGAAGTTTCGACGAACAACAATCAACTAAATAAATATTCTTGTGAACATTGTACAAATAAATTAGTAACATGGAAGAATATAGTTAATCATTGCTATGTGGTTCATAAATCGTCGGAAATCACTGGATGTGAAATAAGAAAAAGTAAGATCAAGGCAAAGATCATACTGAGCCCCAATAGTTGCGCCGTGTCACCAATAAATGTCCAGATAAACCAATCGGTTTTATCGACCTATATATAGTTCGAACGAGCAAGTTTGCAAAATCCTAGTGAATACGAAATAAAATTTACTATGTATCGTACTTAAGTGTAAGCCACTTCTTTAAAGAACTGAAAAAACAAGTGGATTAATACACGTTTAAATAGTACAAAGCACGCAAAGCAGAATATTTTTATTGCATAATTAAAAGCCAATTTAGTCTCATCATGTTACTGTTACGTAATTTCTGTCAACGTTATTTTTTATTGTGCAAGACATAGCTGTGTGTAAGTGGGTGTAAAAAGTAGGGTGTTTTTGTGGTGGAAGAGTAAGGTTAAGATTATTTGAATGTTTTATGGTGGTATGATATGTGAACAGGATTAATTGTGTGGCTTTTTGTATAAATGACCCATAGTAGGTGGATCGTTGGGCCTCCTGTTTTGTTCGCTATTTGATTAACGCAGAAAACGGTATATAACTACGGCACTCGAACGTATAGAACCCTATAGTCGCAAAATCAGAAGACAGAAGGAAGCTGGATAAGAGTCAAAATGTACGGAAAATCATGGGCACTTTAGATAGCGATTGTTATGACATCATTATAATTCAGCCAATCCTTAGAGGCAAGTTATGCTACTATTCAATCGTAGCATGCAACTGTGATACTCTAGAAAGCTCCATCACGCTGTGATTGGATGGAAACTCTTCGGCTTCTTCAGGGCCTCTGGAAGGTCCGTCGTAATTCTCGGAAGCCGTCTCAACATCTTCCCTTTTGTCAAACTCGGTTGTGTTTGTTAAAACATAAAAACTTCAGCCACTCGTCTTCCCTTGTAGTTGGATAATCCTTTTTGAACTACTGTGATTTTATTGACATCAATTTGGTGGTTGTTAAAAGTACCAATTAATGTTCTTGCTAAACTGATTCATAAATTTTCCAGTTCTGCAGGATTTCATGAAAATCATAAAATCGATCCAAGTTAGACCATCATTAGTAGTCCTTTATGTGTACCTTGGATGGTCATTGAGACGAGTTATAATTCCACCCGATGACCTTCTAATATAGAATCGATATGCTTATTCTTGAATGAATTGATTTTACCACAATGGTTTGGATCCTCATCTCTCAATGTCATGGTAAAACACGTTAACAACTATTAGAACAGGTCTTGATTAAGGCTGAGTATGACTGAAAAATGTAGACTTATTAATTGTTGAGTTGTAACCAATATCATGCTTCATATGAATAGAATAAGGTTAATAATAACATTTTGTTTTACAGAACATTATTCCAGCTAACATTAAGAAAGACAATGGTACAGTAATAAATTGTTTGTGATAAAATATTCATACAGCTGATTCTGTGTAAAAATTGTCAGAAGTGTATATGTAATATACTTGAAATCTAGCTAAGTGACAATAACTCATTATACAAGACACCAAGCATAAGTAATCTCTTTTGTATTTCCATTCATATTTATCGTTATATCAATAAATTATTGATTTCGTTTACTGATATCCTGGAGCGTCTAATGTTGAAGTGTTTTTTCTATTATAAATTATTTTCACTTGGTATTGTTTGGCTTGTATCTTTCCATTGAGGTTTTTTTAGGACTGCAATTGATCAGTCTGTCATTGACATATGTGCATACTGTGCGTATGCCTCGATACTGCCTTAATTCGAGTCCCAGAGTGAACATCAACTCTCTGAGATGCAGGTACATCCAGCTGATGAGTCCCAAATAGGACGAAATGCGCGTTATGGATTCCACTGCTAGCCACTATCCATTATTTCTTATAAATTGTTTTGTTTAAATTCATATTTAATTTGACTACCTCATTCTATGTTATCATGGTATTCATTCTGAATATATATATATATATTTATTCCAAATCATTTATTCATTATCACTTTATTCTTTTAATTAGGTTGTATTCAATGTACAAAAATTTGTTTTACGTTTTCTTTTATGTCATTTGGCTGTGGCTAATTTATGTCAATGGTTAAAAACAATTGTCGATGAAATTGGTAGTGAACCAGGACATGATGAAGAGTTAATATCGGATTCGACTATAGTTTTTCCATCGGAATATTTTTTAGACGCAAAAATATCACATAATAATACAACTTTGTATGGATATACAAATGGAGAAAAGTTATCAACTTTTAATTTGACTAATTTAGCAAATATGGTTTTATTAAATAGAAAAAAACATCATGCTAATGTAAAATCTCACCATACAAGTTATGATAACTCAACTATTCATGCAGCTGAACAAGCAGTGTTAGGTATGTGTGGATATATTTACATTTTAGTGTTGATTTTCGCACTGAAACTTAAGCCTACTGCCTATTACTTCGAATACTGATGAGTTAACCAATAAGCTATGGAATCGTGAAAGCTAGCGACAGAAACAAATCTGATTCAATCCTGAATATCGGCAAGCTTTTCAGCTCATTAAAAATATCCTACCCGTTAGAGAATTCCATAATTGTCTAAACTTGGTAACACAGTGAACATCGTGCTTACATTTAAAGTGATAGGTACTTAAACGATAACATTGGAGTATATGAACTTCCGTTTAGTGTTTCCGAAATAGGAGGAAACAAGCATGTAGGATTCGATTGTAAGCCAAAGTTTTGATAAACGTTTGATCGAAAACATGTTGGTAGATTACGTATGTCAAAAGAGACTGAAAGAAATCTTATTTCGAATTTAAACAAAAGGAAAAAAATTAAACTTTTGGGGATAAATAATACACATAAACATTTTATGTGAAAACTTTAATGGAATTTCAAAGAACTTTCTCATCCAGCTGAAAACAGTTGTAACAGTGTGACCTTAGAGATTGGTCCGTTCAACCCGAAATAATCACTTGCAGTAATTAATTCAGAAATACTTGGGTTGTGTAATAGCTAATTCACATGTCGTTGCAATCATAAACATATCCAAGCTAGACCATCATCGAAACCTGGAAGTGCTGGATGGTCGTTTTATCATGGTATCGGTTACCTCAGCAGTACATATCAACGACACCGCACACCGAAATCAAATGCAGAACCTTCGGTCTCGCGCGCTAATGCTTAACCTCGAGACTACTGAACCGGCATCCAACGGTGTTCGGTATCTAACGTCAAGTAATGCACGACCATCTTCTTTGGTCAGTAACTGCCTCACACTTGACATGGATAAGCTCCATTGGCAACGATCTGTTGAAGAGTCTCACACTAGAACGAAAAGATCGTTCAGGGCTTTCTGATTTTCAATGGTTCTCTAACTTAGGTCAGTTCATGATTTCAGTGAAATTTCAACAATCTCCAAAACCCAATTCTGATCATTTTCATGCGGTCGAATTGTGAAAATAATTCTTGGAATAATTATATTATTCGTTTTGTCATAGCATTTGGGATCTAGTGAACTTAGTCGTAAGCCCTTTCCATTTAAATATTATGATTTATATCATCCATGCACAAATATCGCTACAGTCAATAAAGATACAGTAAATGAAAATGGGGGATCAAACATGCATTGCTGAGCAAAAGTAGATCACCATTAGTGGCGTACTTGATCTATGATACGGGAAATCAATTTGTTTGCATCTAACATATGAATACCGTTGGGCAAAATATCTATATTGTTCTGTGATATTCGTCTAATGTTTAATAATGTCTTCTCAACATTTAGACTTTTCCTTCGCTATTTTCGTTTGTATTGATTTTATATTCAGGTTGTGGAGTAACGGTCAAATATTTGGCTCCATATTTGTTTCCATGTGCAATTGAATATAGCTTAATAGCTGGTGCAATATTTTATAAAATGTTTGAAAAAGTTGGACATGTACGTAAAGAATCGGAACGCTTAGAAAAATTGCGTAAAGCTAATCCCAAAACAAGTCAATTCTCTGAATGTCATCGTTCACATAAAGGTTTATTTGTTGGCCTATTAATATTTATGGCAACATTAGTTGCAATGAGTCTATTTTTTATATTTATTGTGAAACGTGATCGACGGAATACAGCTATAACATTATATCAAGGAACTGAACTAGTTCTATTATCTGTTAGTACAGTGACATGTTTAATTAGTTTGTTTCGTTTACAAGCATTGAAATTAAGTGATCTGTCCGAAGAAGTAGCGTTTGATGATAATTTATTATTGATTGGTTTGGTTGGGATGTTATTCTATGATTTATTCCTATTAGTGCCCGCTTTAGAAGCTATACCGAATGGTGTAATTGCAGCCAAATTATATGCGGCTAAAGCTATCATGGAAATGATTCAGTCTATGCTACAAGTAAGGGTTTTTTGATTTTGTATTCTTCAAATAAATTGTATTGATGGTAGTAATATTAATAAACCCTTTTTGTGTTTTTGGATATAATCTACAGCTTGACTCAATTATACTTTCGTTTAAGTCACTAAGAAGGTAACTGTGTGGCAATCTATGGGTGATGAATACTCACATTAAAGGTTTATGTGTATTCACAGTTTATAAATAAGTGGTGATTTAGTGAGTGACAGAGTTACTTCACTAAAGCTCAACCAAAGTGGAATTTAACTAACCATACAATCTTGGTAGATTATATGATTTTGTAAACCAATCATTTATTTGCTAAATTGTGTACAAATATGAACTAAGAATGTTGTACAATATCGGTGTCTGAATGCAGCTATAAGAATCACATGAACTAGAACAACCGTTATTCTGTGGCCAAAGTTGGTTGTGAAATGTAAAAGCAACTGCAGTAAGGCATACACAGTATGATATTAGTATTTACTAAATCGCATCGAGGAAACAATTAAAATTACATTTTTCCCAAAGTGAATTATGAATGACAGCTAAATTGAACATATTTTACTTCAGAGTCAGTCAGTATTGATACACATAATTCAAGACGTTTACACCGATTATCATTTAGCTGATAAGTACTCTCAAATTATGTTTAAAGAATCTATTCTCCAGTTGTAGATTCTAAGTGGTATTATGGAGATTGGAAAACCAGCATAATATTTACTCGTATTGACGCAGATGTTACCTTATCGTTTGTGTAAATTACGCTGTCGAACAAGTCATTTTATAAGTGATATACCAAACAACAGGCGCTCGTAGATTACAGATACTCAAACAGATTAGAATACTAGTAAAATGTTATCTCATATAACCGCTTCACTGATAAAAAAAATTTTATACAGCTTTCTGGACGTTACAAATGATTCATATTTGCCTTGCATTTTTAAGCTTGAAGTAACTTTTTCAACCTCGAAAAAATTCAATCATATGTAGAAGCCGTAATGATTAGTTTTGAGCTAGCAATTCTCACAGTGAGACCTCCATTGAGGTACCACTGATAACCGGTGGGAAATGTATAGTTGTTTTTTCTCAATGTAAGCCATCAACTCTTCCTGGTGTCAAAGCAAGTTCTTTGGTTTTTGTCGTAAGTACTTTATCATTAGTCTAATTAAGCTAGCAACTCGTACCACTAATAAATCATAGTACTCTTTATCATTACGAAACTTCTCGTCAAAGCATTAGATCAGTTAGCTTACTTGATGAAGTTAGATAATGTTTTTAGGATACATCTATGCAAACTATGTTAACACCGTAAGTTCTACATGCTGTTTATTAAAATGTTTATATGACAAGTGTTATGTCCCGACAAGCATAAGGAATGGTAACTTTTGGGATCACATTATGAACCTATAATATGCGTACATTTTTATCGTATAATTGCTAAATAACTAAACTATTCACACTCATATACCTCTTATTATGAGCTTTATTTTGACCTATGAACTATTATTATACGATTTACTATTCTTGGATTATTCCCTGTCTATTAATCACTACCTCCCACATTCACAGCCACATTTGACCAAACCTTGTGCAAATGTTATTTCCTATTTTGATGATACGATGTGACCTGTCTGGTTGGTATATAAACCCAGTATGTTTGAAATAAACGATTCGTATCGCAGAGGCTGAGATTAGTGTTCTGGACTTGATTGGCTGGGCTAGGCAGTAAGCAGGAACAATAAGGGCTCTAGACTGCTCGCACGGGTTTTATGTGTCATTGGTGTGATCGATAATTCACTGTTCTCTAATTGGCCGTATCGTTACGTTATAAGTTAACAGGGGACACAGGCCACAAGTTGTAATAACAAGAAGGAACAAACAGATAACCGAGATGCCACTACATTAATATGTAGCAAACCGGAAATGATGAACTTTGATATCAATAATGAGAAGAAAAAAAAAGAAGAATAAACAGCTCTCCGCGTCAAATATCCTTATCAGTCTAAGATAAGGTGGTTTGACCAAAATCTCTTTTTATAAAATAGTTTATCTAGCCAATTAGGAAACATCATTCCAGTTTACTTCAATATAAAAACGATATTTATTAAAATATTTTATTTCAAGATGTAGTTTCTCGAGGATAACTTTGGAATAAAGCCAATTTTTTTCGTCCAACAATGACTATCCTAAGTCGTTGGTTTATAAAATACCGTTTCATCCTAATGAAACATTGTAATTAACACTTTTTTTCATTCAATTTTAGGTGTTTTTCATTTTGGAAGCATCTCGAAGATGCGCTGGAACATTAGAACATGTACAAAAAAAACCAGGACGTACAATGATTACATTTTTATTAGTATTAAATTTAGCTATGTGGTTTGTGAATACATTCGAAGTGAAACACGCAGATAATCATAGTATACATATAAATTATTATTCATCTATGGCATGGAAAATTATTACACATATAGCATTACCTTTAATTGTATTTTTTCGTTTTCATTCCACAGTTTGTTTATCTGATATTTGGGCAAATGCTTATCGTTTTAGAACAGAGTAAATGAAATTGTGTTATATCTATTTTTCATTTTCTTCTTCTTTTCATTAGTTATTTGAATTTTCTTCTATTAATCAGTTATTCATTTTCAATGTGATACAATATCAGATAGAGAACTTACTTTTATTGATAGAAATGAATCAGAATATTACTGAATATATAATGAGCTTATATCCATAGGAAATGTGCTGAAATGTAGTCTTATGTAAAAACTATTCTTTATGTTAAACAGATGTAATGATATTTAGTAAAATTATGTTCTTTCTTTGTAATATCATGTTTCAAATTATTTCCTTTATTGTTCTATATATTCTATGTGCCAATGAAAGCCACATTCACGTTGATGTTGTGTATATGAAATCTTTTAATATATATATATATATATATATATATATCTGCAAAATATATTTTGTATACTTTTTACTGTTATTATTTAAACTTGTTTTCAGTTTATTATTTACTGATATAGTACACCATATTCATGGATATATAGATAAGTCATTTATGAATTAGTTCAATCATTCAATGTTTAATCATGACATAGAGATCATGAAAGACATATGGCCATCATGTAGAATTGAATTATTCGAAGAATCCCACTAGTTTGTTTATAATTTTGACGTTTTAAAAGTACAATCAAATACACTAGATGATATTGATAAGTATATATATATATATATATATATATAACATAATTTAAAGATAATAGTTTTGAACTGATTTCGATTGGTAACATAAAAACAATAAAGAATACCACATTCATACTGGAACAAAGTACCCTTGATTATCAATCATAATTCGGTTGATAATAATCTATAATTTGATCACTACGCTTTCATGTTATAAAAAACTCTCCACCAAAAGATAAAAACAAACAAACGAACTGTTTACATTCAATATTTAAATATAATACCATTTGAATTATAAATTTACAATGGAAAATCAAGGTTCAATTATTAAAAAGAAAAAAAAATAACAACTAAGTACATAGTATTTTAGTATTCTCTTTTGATGAAAACAAAACCAGAAGTTAGTAAGAGGTGTAGGAAAGATTTGAATATGACCAACTTGGTCACGTGTGCTGTTACGGGTATGAAGGCTGGTGTCACCAACAGTTACATAATCATAAAAATACTTGATTTGAATATTAATGATAAGAATATAAAGTGAATGAGTTAAAAAGCATAAAAATCATAAAATTATTTCGATATTACTCTGTTTATTCAAAAAAAAGATCAGGTATACGGTATACGTGTACTATGTATATAATGCTGAGAATAATTTTAACAATGATGATTGATTTATCACATTCATGGGACTATATAGACCCATAGTCGATACAAGCAAACATCAAATGAAATGCAGGCAAATACATTAATTAATTTGAATATGTCCAATGCTGCAAATATATTACAATAAAATGACTGAACTAATTGTGTTTTCTTTTCCTTTTTAAGATATTTATAAACAAGCAATAAAAAACAAAAGATGACTTCATAAACATTTTTAGTTGTCAAGTATTATGATAAGAAAAAAAACTGATAATCACTAAGAAAGACAAACAATGTTATGTTTAAAGGAATAAAAAATAAGTGTTCCATATGATATTTCCTTAATCTTATTATCTCATTATGCATCATACATCAATAAGCATAATCATTTTTGATCATAGTTTGATGCAGTTTCATAACTTCTGGACGCTTGTGAATTGATTGGTGAATTGATATCATCAATATCTGTAACTGTATGAGGATTAGTTGAAGATTGGGAATAGTTATGTGAATCATGATGCAGCACATTGTTTCGTCTATTTACTAAAGCTTCATTTATTGTTGTGGAATGTGGAAATTGTGTTTGAAGGGTTGATTGTGTTATAGGTAAAGATCTAATTGGTTGTATTGTTGGTGGTAAGAATGATTGCGATTGAGGTGTTAATGTTTGATGGGGAGGTGTTGGGCCTAGCAGATTAGGATAATCATTTATTAATTGATTTGTATCTGTAAAATTCCCAGTTAATCTACTTAAAGCTAAACGTTGATTAACACGATCAATAGCAGCCAAATCTTCATCATCATCACTCGAACGGAAAAGTAATAATGAAGCAGCAGCTGCCGCTGCAGGCAAAGCTTGTGGATTTGAGAAATCGACTAAATCTTGAAGACCATAAGTATTAATTCCAGTAGTACCACTAGGTAACTGAGAAATTAATGTATTCTGATTCTGTTGTTGAATAACAGTTGGGTTAAGTAAATTACCATGAAAGAAAGGCATTACCTGTTGTGGATAGGTTAAATTTTGTCCAATATTTTGATTCATTATCCTATGTCTCTGTCGAGATGAATGATGAGTCGATGGGTTGTTTGCGTTAATTTTATGAGTTTGTAGTGGAGCTAAAGCACAGTCTTTTTCATCATCTTCTTCCTCATTGATATCTGGATCCAACTCTGGATCTGGATCAACATCTACAGGATTAACTTTGTCATCTTTCTCATGTAAAATAACACCAGTAGTACTGGAATTCTGACCAACCTGTGATTTATTAATTATATCACTCAAACAACATTCATTATTACGTTCATCTTTATGCATTGACTTTGTTTTATTGACTGTATAACAATGTGTTGATGGATGAAGTATATCTGAATGGACTAGATTATAAACTAATGACTGTGAATTAGTTGTGGCCTTGACTTTATTCATCTTATCGCGAGCAACATCAAATGCTTTGTGTGATAATTCAGTTAACTTAGGTAACCATTCTTGATAGATCTTTTAATAGTAATATTAAAATAAAACCAGAAAATCTCGTAATCAATCTCACAGATTTAAACGTAAACATTCATTTTCAGTGTATTTAAATCTACTTTAAAAGTGGATTTTAATTGCTAAATCACACCGAACAAACAACCAACAAATAATATCTGAATTGCCTAAAAAGAATATCATGAATCGCTATTACTCACACGTTATTAGTAGCTTAAAAAGTAATTAAACTTCTATCCAAGCAATATGCTGGATAAAAAACAGTATGTTTTACTGAGTTGTAGATGAAATAGTTTACCTTATGCAACTCTCTATTCAGAATAATTTTCCATCTAAGTATTGTTTCATAAATTTAGTCTCCGTAACAGTAGAACTGACTGTTAACAGACTTATTCAGTTAGCTTATAGTAATGATAAATGAGTAGCTAGGGTTATTTCAAACAAAGTTAACTACTTACATGGAGTCATTCACTTTAAAAACTCATTCTAGAAAGTGAACAGACGTCTACCGTTATGGCTGAGTAAGCAGAAATAGAAACCACCATAGGTTGTGTTTCGATATAGCTAACTGAACTAATAAATAGAAAATATATTCCTGATAATGTGTTCAACAATGTGTTTAGCTAGATTGTATAAGACTGAAATTGAACGGATAATCTGTAGTCAGCATTCTCACAAATATTGATTTAAGATTAAGGAATTAAATGCATAAAAACTTACTTTTTTACGAGGACTTCTTAGGAAATCAGGACTCAAACGTCGATCTGATGATCCGCCTGAATGTTGTAATATATGTAGATAGTTTGGTCGATCAGGATGTAATCGTTCGAAAAGGCGCTGACCAATACCTGTATTATTCATATTGGTGTTAGCTGGTGTTTCAACCATGGAAAAGGAAGAAAGTGATTTTATGCTCATCTCATCATGTAGTTGAAATTCGGTACTTTCCAAATCCGGACTCAGACCCACATGTATTGTGGGTTGATGCAATCTAAAATAATGGTAATCATGATTAAAAAAAAGTCATACGAAAATGAGTAAACTGTAGAACCAGTACAAACATTTCATCAGAAAGAAATAAAACAAACGAACTAGAGTTAATTCTACTGACAAAGAGTGTTTGTAATATTGAGAAAATCGATGTTACTTAACGGATTCGAAATCGGGTATATATAGTAAATATTTAGCGTATGAAAATGACTTAGATTCACTAAGTGTTAGTGATGATCATATAGTCAATCCGACAAGACCTAAACACAGCACTAATTAAGCCAGACAGAGCGACTGGTAGTTTGAAGTAGATACCGTAAGGAATGCGTTTCAAGTGAAATACGATCTTAAAACTTTATGCTAGGAGTCAGCTTAGGATTGACAATATGGATTAGATGTATTTATCTGATAATGTTGTGCGAATATCGATTGTATGATTAGTTCTTACTATGTATTCATCCTTTTCGACTATTTCTGTCTAGCTTTGTAGTTTACTATTTCGCTTAGTTTTTTCCGGATTGTATCTAAGTGTGATTATTTGAGCTGAAACAAAGTTAGATAAGATAGTTATTTTGTCTTTTTGACGGTTTATAAATCTCACCTTTGTACAAATCCACTCATAAATCTTGATTGATCGGTGAGTAGAAATTAACGTTACATTTTCAAATGATCGATTTGATTAATTAGAATGAATGTTGAAAAATTAAGTAAGAAATTGAGAATGTATCTGTAAATTGAGTTAACGTCAAGTACCTTTTCGTGATGAAAACTGATGTAGTGAATAGATAAAGTTTATCAATACTGCTCATTGCAACTGAGTCACTAAATATCCATTTCTGTACTCAACATTAGGCCGCACGTTTTCCATATGAAGAGTAATATAGTTCAGATTGACGAGAAGTGAAGTAGACCACAAACTTGTAACTTATACAATTATTTCCATTTACAAATATGAACAAAACTAAGAGCAGTAACCATAGCAAATAGCAAATGAATTCATCTATTTCATGGATTCACTTCAGCTGCTTATAATTTTTTATTATAAAAATCTTCATTCATTCGACACATAAATGTCGAATAATAACAAAAGGATAACAACTAACCATCCATTTTAGAGAATGTAACATTATCATAAATATTATTTGTACGAATAATTATGTTAATATAAGACTATTTAATGTTAACTTGTGTAACAGTTAGACTTCGTAGTATTTTAGTGAACGAGAACTTAAGTGGGGAAGACCAATCTACTTTTTAACGTAAATTATGAAAACCGTACATTAAATACATAATTAGCACATCTTTCTTCAGTTTTCTTTTACATACTTCATGATTCTTTTAATTCTCTTGTTATTGCAATTGATTCCGCGTCACTTCCCGTTTTCTTCAGTTCAATCTTCCTAAACTTCTGCTGGTAAGCATTTCACTTCCTATTATTGCTACATACTACTTATATCTGTTAACATAAGCAGCATACACCGCAGTATAAAGAACTAATATAGATAATCAGGAGAATGTTTTGTAGGAGATAAACATGATCAACGAATAAAATTAACCAACCAAACAATGAAAATTTAATTTCATATTAAAATGCATCTTTCATTAATGAAATGTGAATTTTAATAAAAATCGAAAAAA